AGCTAAACGCATGTGTATGCGCGTGAACTTATTTATCAATAAACCGTTGGGAAAGTTCTTACTGTAGTAAGGGAGATCTGCTTTATTCTTGTCTGTCACTGTACTACGTGAAGGCTACACGCAACAGAGCAATACAGAGAGATCTCTATGACTCTGACATGCACGTGGAAAAGGTGGGCAGGCAGAACTAGCTCATTTGCATTAAAGGTACAGGCAACAAAAACAGCTACAATGTCCTAACAGCTCAGATTTTCCACATATTGAAAGGTATAATATATAATATGATGGGTATTTTGAGTTGAAACTTTACAGACACATTCTGAAGACAAAATATTTATCTTAAATCTTGAAAAAGGGGTAAAAGAGATGCCCATTAATTTGCACTTTAAGCTGAATACAAGCATAATTAATAAAATATTTAGTAAAGCATTATGTACTGTCATCATGAGATAAAAACCCTTTTGTATTAGGAACTACTTTCTTCCGCCATTTATTTACATCTGCAGCTGACGTCAAAACATAATTAGTAAACCGTTACTAATTTACCAATGTCCCTTTAGGTTATGACAAAACAAGCTTATAAGATTATAAGGCCGAACGTGACATGAAATGCCATCCGTCTACAGAGATTTCTAACCAGACTGCTGTTGTGTTTGCGATAAGGAGGGACAAGTCTGAATCCAGCTTCTTATTTACAGCTTCTTATTGACTCTATCCGGTCCATCTTAAAAACCACGATGCTTCCGTTTTTCAGCTTTTTTTTCGCACTCAAGAGAACACACTGAGCAAGGGCTTATTATGCGGTTCTGGCGCCATCTTGTTGATAGACAACAACAACCGTCTGTGGCCACCGACGAGCTCTCAGAAATTGTAAATATTTTAAAATAGGCACTATTATTGCAAATAAACTGCATGTTTGCAATTTAAACAACCACATTCTTGACTAAAAAAAGCCTCAAAAGTATCTTCTGTTGTCTAACCGCAGTAATATTTGTCAAACTATAGTGTCTGCTTGTTGCTGGCTGTATGTGGGCGGAGTAATACACAAAGGGTAAAGAGGCTGTACGGATGCTGATATTACTTAAATATTACAGCTATCAGCCAATCAGATTCGAGATCCAGACAGAACTGTTGTATAAATATATATATACAATTTTAAAACTTTCAAAAATGTTTATATACGCAAAGCTGTACACCAATTATTCCAGCAGATGTTTACTTCTAAGTCTATTATACTCCAAGCCTATTCAAACAGTGTGTTCAGCTGAGTGCCTCCGAACAGGACAGAAAATAGCCTATGACTACTAAATGACGTTTTAATGTAGAAATCTTAATAACATCATAAGCAGAACAATACAACATTTAAAAAGGGAGTTCATGAACCCTTTTAAATGCTCTTTTCCTCTATCATTTATTTCTTTTTCACTGTTTTGCTTCCAGGAGCACTACCACTACCTTTACCAGGCAATGCTCAGCCTTGTCAGCAGTAAAGACTTCAGATTTGGCTTCAACTACATGGACAAATTCGCTGGAAAAGCGGATGAATCCAACCAGGCTGAGAGCATGGAGTCTTTGGTGTGAAGTTTTCGGAAAATGAAACGGAACAAAGTGGTTCCTTGAACTTTCCATGAGGCCTTTTTTTCCCCAGACTCTTGGTGAAATGAAAAAAAAAGAACAACAAAAAAGAGCTTTTATAAACTGATAAAAATAAATTCTTTTGATATTTATTTTTGCTGCTTTTTGTTATCCTGCTGAGCGCCACAATCTGCTCTCCAAAAAACACATGCACACGCACACACTGATAAACACACACACACACACACCATCTTCTTTGCACTACACTGTCAGTGTTACTACTTGATGCCTAGCTGATTATTGATAATTGTGTTGATAATGTTTTCTTTGAGTATCACTTTATTGCTGCCGATAAAGTCTACAGACATGTGAGGGTGATCAGCGACAGCACATTAACACACACATCAGCCTCATAACCATACAAAACTGTACACAGCAGCTCTTAATGCTCATCATGATGCGACCTTTAACCGTCAAGCATTGTGACTTGTTAGATTAATATGTTCTCTTTTTTTTTATTTATTATTAAGATATGCCATTTTATGTCTAACTTATATACATTATTTCAGTGTGGTATCATAACAGCAACTGTGAACATATATTGTTATCAGTAGCATTTCTATTGTTTTGTAATATATAAAGATATTGATCAAAAATGTGTCTCGTTTCCTTCATTTCAGCTCTTTTCATCAGTATTTTATCATCAGGAATATCTATTTTTCATATTCTCTAAAAAATTGATAGTGACTGCTCTGATATGCACTCAAATTTATTCATTTAAAAAAAATGTATGCACCTTTTTATATAAATAAAATGGAAAAAAAAAAGTTTGAATAGCCTTTGGCAAAAAAAAATTAGGCCTGTTTATTTATTAAGCTACATTAGGATTATTCATCATATACAGAGCACTTTCCTGTCCTTATGTCTGTTTTATTATACTGATGAACTTTGAAGTATATCATATTTTTAATCACAATATCAAGTAAATAAAGTTGAATTTGAAATTACTCCTTTGCTATGAACAAATTATGCCATTATTATATCAAGGTGTTGGCATAAATCTTCAGAAAACTTCTGAAATGTGTTAAAATTTGAGAGCTGACTATAGATTGCGTAGCCATGCATGGAGATCGTATAAAAAAATATATATTTGAAGAAAACAGGCTGTGATGACTGCATTACCATTGCAGCTGGCTTTTTTGTGGAGCATTTTATATGAAAAAAACGAAACAATAATAACATTACAAAAGAAGACTATTGTTAAGAATATTCTAATTGTAATATTAATGAAAAAAGAGAAGCATGTACAGTTTATATGTGACCCTGGTTGACAAAATATTTGTCCTGTATTGATACATTGATACATGTAAATCGTTAATTTGTTTTGTCAATAGCCAAAAAAGTGTGTGTGTGTGTGTGTGTGTGTGTGTGTGTGTGTGTGTGTGTGTGTGTGTGTGTGTGTATTATTAGCACCCCTGAATTATTAGACCCCCTGTTTATTTTTTTTCCCAATTTCTGTTTAACAGAGAAAAAAAAAATTCAACACATTTCTTACCATAATAGTTTTAAAAACTAATTTCTAATAACTGATTTATTTTATCTTTGCCATGATGACAGTAAATAATATTTGACTTATTTTTCAAGACACTTCTATACAGCTTAAGTGACATATAAAGGCTTAACTGGGTTAATGAGGTTAACTGGGCAGGTTAGGGTAATTAGGCAAGTTATTGTAAAATGATGGTTTGTTCTGTAAACTATCGAGGAAAAATATAGCTTAAAGGGGCTAATAATTTTGTCCATAAAATGGTGCTTAAAAAATTAAAACTGCTTTTATTCTAGCCGAAATTAAAAAAAGTTTAAAATCATTAGAATATTAAGTAAATGTCTGCATGTATACATTACTAAGCTCTTCCTTTCATTTAAATAACGTTAAAGATGATTTTTTTATAATCAATTTTACACTACCTGACAAAAGTCTTGTCTCCTATCCACGTATTAGGAACAATAATAACTTGACTTCTAGTTGATCATTTGGTATCAGGAGTGGCTTATATGAAAGGCAAAGGCCTCTAGATTACGCTTATTTTACCAAAATAAAATATGATCATGCCTTGATTTTTAGTTATTTAATTAGGACAGTAAGGTCTGACTTTGACAAAAACTAAAGTCTTGTCACTTAACAGAAATAGTGTACAGTGTAGAATATAAAGTCATGGTGCAGTAGAAACAGAATTAATATTGTGTATGACTCCCTTGACCTTGGACGACTGCATCCATACAGCTCTGCAATGACTCAAATAACTTAATAAAGTCAATTGGAATGGCAAAGAAAGCGTTCTTGCAGGACTCCCAGAGATCATCAAGATTCTTTGAATTCAACTTCAAAGCCCCCTCCATCTTACACCACACATGCTCAATAATGTTCGTTTCTGGTGACTGGGCTGGCCATTCCTGGAGCACATTGACCTTCTTTGCTTTCAGGAACTTTGTAGAGGCTTCTTCAAGTTATTATTTGTTGCTCCTACAACTGGGATCAATGACAAGACTTTTGTCAGGTAGTGTATATATAATATTTTGTTAATCATGATATGTATTGTCTTTTCTCAGCATACCATATATCAAAGGAAATCTTCTTTATTCTCCTATCAGGTTTCATACATCTCAATTGCCAAAAATGTATGACTTGGGACTGGTTATGAGGTCCAGGGTCCCATATAGACCATTTTGAAGGATGCAAACTAAAACAATGTCCCCAATGTATTTCCCAATATGTTTTAATTTCTATAGCTTCCAAAAACCGAAAAAGAGATATTGATAGATAATGTTCAGTTATCATTGAATTGCCTTATGTTACAGTTATGAAATATTTTGATAACAATCAGGAAATGTTTGTGGGCCAGTGACATGACCACATTAAAATGGTTTGTAGTAAGTTATCAAATATTTCATAATGTGATCGCCATGTGTTTATGTTAATGTTTAAAATAAACAAAGGGGTAAATTATACAGTTATTTGAAGAGAGTTTTTTGCTTATATTTACCAACAATTATGACAAAGACTAAATATAGACAAAAACATTTTCTAACTGTAACTTCACTTGAGTCCGTGACTGTATATCTGAAGAGGTAAATAACAAGGATGTTATATTCATATCCACCACGAGGGGTACTATTTATGTATCTTCTTTAAGAATAGTCCACTTGTTTACAGGGACCGCCGCTTTTGATTTTATGAAAAAGGTGATTCTGTTACAATAATCACACAGCCCATTTTGCTCTAGTTGCGTACATATAAATATTATTTCCTAGTATTACATTTTATGCATATAGCACAACACACAGTGTTGCAGTCATAACCATTCATTGTTTTCGATTCTCCCCACCCCCGTACATGTAAGAATGAGTTCGCCCACGCGTGACGTATTTCCTTCATGACTTAGGTGATGCCATCTTGATTCGAAAATAGTGTCGCATGAGTTGTGTGATACGGAGGATTATTGTGTTTATATTTTATACAGAGATAGCTTTTTGCGTTATTGTAATTTGAACAGAAAGGGACGCTTTTGAGGGTCGTTCTTGGTCAGAGTTTTGTTGAGTGGTTCATTCATTCACATTTCTTTTCTGGACGAGGAGCTGCTGGCGGTGCTAACAAAGGAATAACTGGACCCGAGCAGTTGTTTATTGGTAATGTTATTCACATGTTTTCACTACAACGCGTACATTACGATGTATTTACTCCATATGTCGATCTATTGGTGCTTATTTCAGTCTGCATTTTACTGCTGCTCATGAATAATTGCTCACCAGTTGTTCGCACGCGTTTTCCTGCACGGCCGCGAGCTCACATTACAACCATTAGTGAATCGAATCTTTTGAATTGATTCGTACGGAACCCCGGAAGGGACGTAGTGGAGGAGAAAAAAAATGGGTGGGTGAAAAAAAAAAATGGGTGAAAGAAAAAAAATGGGTGGGAGGAAAATATATATTTCTAAGTTTTTTGCGTTCTCTCGCAAAGTTTTGCGTTCACTCGCAAAGATGTTTTGCGTTCCCTCGCAAAGATGTTTTGCGTTCCCTCGCAAAGATGTTTTGCGTTATCTCGCAAAGATGTTTTGCGTTATCTCGCAAAGATGTTTTGCGTTCCCTCGCAAAGATGTTTTGCGTTATCTCGCAAAGATGTTTTGCGTTCCCTCGCAAAACTGTTTCTCCACAAACACTTCCTGTTCACTGCACTCACGTAAACCCTCCCGTTTTTGCTGAAATTCTCCCATATTTTACCATTCTATCCCACTTTCTTTACATTACTGTGCGCTGATTGTCGCCTTTCACTTTGCAACCTCTGAACCAGTGAATGCATGTTTAAGCGCTGACTGACAGACGCGCTTCGTACAATAAACTGATCCCAGATCAGCGTCTGTACGCGCCATTTAAAGGGACACTTCTGTTATCAAACAAGTGCGCAGCAAATGAATCTCATGTTTTGTTTAGTTTGATAACAGAGGTGTCTCTGTAAGAATGCACAGATCTATAATGAAAGCAGTCCATTACTTTAAAAACTTCATATTATTCAGTGTATTTGTCTGTTTAAACATAAACCCGCTCCTCTGTAAATGGCGTGTACAGACGCTGATCTGGGATCAGTTTATTGTACGAAGCGCGTCTGTCAGTCAGCGCTTATACATGCATTCACTGGTTCATAGGTAGCATACGCACAGAAATGTAAAGAAAGTGGGGTAGAATGGTAAAATACGGGAGAATTTCGGCAAAAACGGGAGGGTTTACGTGAGTGCAGTGAACAGGAAGTGTTTGTGGAGAAACAGTTTTGCGAGAGAACGCAAAACAACTTTGCGAGGGAACGCAAAACATCTTTGCGAGATAACGCAAAACATCTTTGCGAGGGAACGCAAAACATCTTTGCGAGATAACGCAAAACATCTTTGCGAGATAACGCAAAACATCTTTGCGAGGGAACGCAAAACATCTTTGCGAGGGAACGCAAAACATCTTTGCGAGTGAACGCAAAACTTTGCGAGAGAACGCAAAAAACTTAGAAATATATATTTTCCTCCCACCCATTTTTTTTTCTTTCACCCATTATTTTTTTTTCACCCACCCATTTTTTTTCTCCCCCTACGTCCCTTCCGGGGTTCCGTAGATTCGGCAGAAAGATTTGTTCAGTGGGATTTTGCTGTTTACATCGCGGTGAAGCGTGACTGTATAATTCATGTTTGCAAATGTTGTTAGAAATGTAACGTGTTGTAGTTTTGTCGTTCGTGTCTTCGAATGAGAGACTTAAATCGTCTGTAAGTGTCATAAGCACTGTATTAAAGAACAACGCAGATGTGTAACGTCAAAATTATTTAAAACCACGAATCGCTCAATTTCTGGTTCCGTTTTGTCCTGCTCGTAGTCAAAATACAAACTCGTTCCGTTTATGAGACCTTAGTATTTCAACATGTGCAACCAATGTTTTTGTTCATTCAAAGCCTGCACTATGTTCATTTTGATTCGCGGTAACGTTAGATCAAGTTACCGGAAACTCATCATGTTGAAATTTGTAACAGCTGTGATCTCCAGGGTTTTTTAATCGTTTGTCTTTTGTTGAAGCCATCAGTTCACATCAATTCGATTTAGTTATGAAACAATCACGTTTAAGCCTATTAAACGGTGAAAACTACAGTACCCATGTTGCTGTTCGGCGAATTTCACACAGCAGTCACAGCAAACCAAATATAAACTGAAAAAATACTTTTAATGTTCTTAAATATTAGTATATGGTTGAGTACAGAGTGTGTATGTATACGTATACAAAAACAAAATCGAATATTAAAGTACCTTAATAGCAGAAATGTTGGTAACTTTCTGTAGAGCATCATCATCATTATTAGTTTTTATGTGTATTGTAGTTTTCTGTACGAATAAAAAGAAAGTTGAAACTGTTGCAAACAGAAGGATTTCTCAAAAGCATTTATTTTCTGTTTACTAATTCGGATCTCACGACCAATCTAAGTTTTTTTTTTAAATGAGTGCTGTGAATTTAAACATTTTGCTTTTAGTTTTTTTTGCATATTTTGTTATGGTCATTTTTTATGAGATATTACTGTCTTTTTTGTTTTTGTCTTTTTTGGCTAATGGAAACAATAATTTTACTATTCATTCACCGTCAGCTCGACTGAGGAAAGATGGCCGAGATGTACATTCGAGTTGCGGAGGAGGAGAATGAGGAGCCGATGGAGATCCCGTCAGAGGATGATGGCACGGTTTTGCTTTCCACAGTGTCCGCTCAGTTTCCAGGGGCTTGTGGTCTGCGCTTCCGGAGCCCAGTGTCTCAGTGCATGAGGGGGGTTCGTCTGGTGGACGGCATTCTGCATGCACCTGAGAACGGCTGGGGAAACCTAGTCTATGTGGTTAATTACCCAAAAGGTATGTGGTACAATTAATATACTAAGCCCAATTTAAAAAATGTTTTTAGAAAGCATCCTGAAAACATGCACAATTGCACACTTTAAAAAATAAAATATCATTTATAATCTACCTTTTTCTCCTCTAATGCATGGTCACAGTTTTCAGTTCATCTTTATTTCTGTTGTGCTTTTTAAAATGTAGGTTGTGTTAAAACAGCTTGGCATAGGTGGCAAAAAAATAGAATAAAACCTCTGATTAATTTAAATTTGAACATTACAGCAAGTCAGACAAGCAAGAGAGCAGTGGTAGGAAATAGGGCTGGGCGATTTGGCCTAAAATCAAGATCTCAATTAATTAAAAATTACAATTAAATTTTTTTTTTTTTTTTTTTGCCCTCACAGTTCACTGACAGGTTTTGTACAGTAAATATGCTCACATATTACAAGTAAGAGATTTTTGAATGAAGGGTGCATTACTTTATTTTTTAAATAATTAAAAGAAACACCATCTACTATCTATGATTATCTTTTGACAATAATTATTGTTTACTATTTGATTATTTATCAATGTTGAACAGCTGAAATTTAAACACACCCTAGGTGTAGGAAGGGTAGCAGTAGTTCTACTAAAAGTAATTCTTGTATATTCTGTAATTAATATTATCAACAATGCATTCCTTGCATCTTCTGTAAATGAATATTTTAATGTAAATATTTGCTTTAATGTAATGGAAAATATGCTGTCTCAAAGCATATCTGTCGCAGCTTCCCATCATCCTCAGTATGGTGCAAAGTAAGGCTGAAGAACGGTGTCTATGTCTTATTTAACCAGAGATCAGATGTGGCTTCAAAGTGGCTACAGAAGTATGAATCAGCCACAGCCTTTAACAGCAGGGATCGCGTGACTCCACACACTGTAGGGAAATTAAATAAAAAAATTGCCTAGGAAAAAAGTAGGTCGATTATAGGTTCTTAATGTCGATTTCGATTAATCGCCCAGGCCTAGTAGAAAATCAACAAATAGATGGATTAAAAATAGTTAATTATGTAATTGTTGGGGATGCTTTGTTCAGGATTTTTGCAGCCGATACAGAATACAAATTTCTAGATTGGTCTGATACCAAGCTCCAATTCTGATGCTTTAAGCTTTATTATGCATAAAGCACATTCTCCCTCTAAGTATGATACTAAAGTGGAGATCTTGCTTTACCTAAGAGAATAAATAATGTTGCATATAATCCCTTAAACATGTCTCATAACCATTTAGTGTCGACATGTCATTGTAAGAAGCAGCTTTACAGAACTAAATGGATAAAACAGGATAAAAAATAGTAAGAAAAATTATTGACAAAAGGGCTGTGTGATATTGCAAAAACATTTATCATGATATCATGTTTCATATCATTCGATGTCAATAATTATGGAATATTTTGAATAATCCTTTTAGGAATATTAGGATTTTTTTATTTATTTAACCACTTTATTTGAGTGTTCCAACATTACTAAGGCAAATAGTTTTAATAGCAAAAAACAAAAATATTATACAAAATCTCGTCTCTTTATATAAAATAAACATAAGTGTTAAAGAGACTCTTTAACCTGATGAATAAAATGTTTACAATGTGTGTGCAACTAAGGCCCCGTTTACACTAGTGCGTTTTAGTTTTAAAACGGCGTTGTAGAATGAAAACGATCCGCGTCCACACTCGCGTTTTACCCAGCGTTTCTGAACTGCTCTCCGTCCACACCAAAACGCTGAAAACGCACATCACGTGACCACACAGACACTCTCAGGCAAGCGCTCCAGCATTTCTACCCAGATGAGAGCTCTGCTTGTCGGACTGCTCATTAAGCATCTCCCGCTGGATCTAATCTCACTATATTTGCTAAACGTGATATTTCATTCATGTTGTTGTCTTTATCTAACGACATAGGCCAATTCCCTGACTTTGGTCATTGGAATCTATTAAGTTACTTGTTCACGGGTAACATGTTTTGGTTAAGCGCAAAGATAAGTTAATGATTAATCCAGGTACATTGACTGATCGCTTGCCTTTATTTCCTACAATGTATAAACTTATTGTATGTTATACTTTTATAATTATCGATTATTAAAACTGATATTCAGCAAAAGAGAGGGTGCGTTTCGTATTTTCACTGAAATTGAAAGGAGGCAGTTGTTATAGGCTCCGTTTTGTTATAAATATCCACACAGTGAAGATGACGCTCATATATGCAGCACGACGCCTCAACATTTCTGCTGTCTGTTAAGTTGCTAATATTAAAAAGAAAATAGGCAGTTCCTTAAATCATGTTTACATTTTATTGTTGAGAAAGTGAAACAACGTAGCCAAGGTGATGTGAATGAAGTTATAAAGTACACTGTTCCCTTTGAAGATTTACCCGTGTCCTCGGTATGTTTTCCATATCAAACTGAAAAGGGGGAGACTGCAGCCTTGATCAAACTTGCGAAATCTGAACTTACAAGAAGAGGATGCGAGACTGAACTGTGTGTGGGCTACTTAATATTGAGGAAAAGCCCCAATCAGATAGGCGAACGTTTGCAGCCCCGCCTCCGTTTTCAGATGTCTCCGTCTTTCCCCATCCACACTGAGACGGAGCAGCAGCGTTTTAGAATGAAAACGGCCTCTCCAGCGTTTTCAAAAAGCTCCGTTTTCGTCGCTCGAGAACTCCGGCGTAGTGTGGACGGATGGCGTAACCGTAGCAAAACTTATGCGTTTTCAAACTAAAACGCACTAGTGTAAACGGGGCCTAAGGTAGATCAACATTTGTATGGTGTAAATAATGATGATACAGCATGGCTCAACAATAAAGACTGCCCGATGGCCCGGGGCCAGTGTGCGGGATGCTCGGGACAGTAGACAGGATTGTTAGTGGCCCGATCGGGCATGTGCTGCTTTGTCACTAAAGTTTAATTTGGTTGCAACTGTCAATTGCGTGCAAACAGGGTGCTTTCACACCTAAACGTTTGTTTCGGAACTTGTCTTGCTTGCCCAGTTAGTATGGCTCGTTTGACATATGTGAATCCGGCAATCGCGCTCATCTCCGCGCCAAAACAAGCGGTCTAAGATCGTTTGTAATGAGAAGGCAAAATGATCCAACGAACTAACGAACCAGGCTTTGCGTATTATGGTTGTGTAATAGTCATGGCTATATGAAAAGAGAATTACGAGTAGGGCCGGATGTCATTCCTACCGTCAAATGTGCGTTTCATGTCGAATATGAAAGTGAAAGCATGCTGAAATATTACTGAGATCTGTTATCTGTTAGGAACACTGACAGAAATTACCATCTGATCATTTGTCCATATTTTAATCTGTTACTATTTTGCATTAGGCCTATTGTTTTGTTCATTTCTGCACTGACACCTGGAAAGAAAGATCTATATTGAGTATTAAATATCAATATATCAGTTCATCTGTTATTTCTCTCTAATTTAAGCCTATAATATATATATTTCCAAATGTATTAACATCACAGTTGGATTTTTTTAAACTGTCAGTTGTATTTAAAGAAAAGTTATGCTGAAGTTATGTTTGGCTTTTGATATATTATTTAAAATATTTGGCTAAGAAATAGTTATTAACTTCTTTTTTTGGTGGGGCCAGTGAAAATTTTGGCAGGGCAAGTAAAAGTCAGAACCACTGGCCAGATTGGGGGCCAGTAGAAAAAATCCTTAGCGTTGAACCCTAATACAGTAAACCTCTAACACTGTCAACAAAACAAATTGTGATGATCAAATCTGAGCTTTTAAATAAAGGAACTAGCCATCATTATTTAAACACATATTGAACTTTGAAAATTGTGAAGTTGAATGAATATATTACCCTCATGCTAAAAAATATCTTTCAGATGGGGAGCTAGTCGCTGGATGCACAAAGAAGAAACCAAAAAGCCATTCTGGCAACATCCTTGCGTCCTTTTTTATTTACAAACTTCCCACTGCTTCTAGCCACGGCACTCACATGTGGCACTCACATTCTAACCTGACGTGGCAGGGGCGAGCGCGTGGTTTGCTTTAGCATTAACAATGGGCTTTGCACCCTAAGCTTATCGGCATTGTTTCCAAGGAGCATGCTCAGCAGCCACATTTTAATAAAAACTGTAACGCTTCATACTGAAACTTTTTTTTATCGATGTTGACAATGGTGTTCGCTCAGTAAACATCGATTCCGATTTTATTGCCCAGCCCTAATTGACAGTGCAGTTTAGAAACGTTGTGAATGATGGAACAATTTAACATGTCTTGCTGAAAAAAAGGTTTGGAGCGCATTATATGCATAAGTTAAAATGCACACCTATAAATATATTGCTTCTTTACTAAAAGAAAATGGGCCTATAAACTACTGTTTATAGCAATAAGTATATTACAAAAGAGTATATTATTAGGCATTCCAGTAAAAAAATATATATTTTTATATTTCCAGCCAGGTTTTAGTGAAATTGCAACATTGACACAGTTGGATGAGACACTAGATAGGGGCAATCTCTCCACTCACGTCACAACAGCTCAAAACACTGCATATACAATGGTTGCAATAAAGAGCCCATGACTCGCACAAGTTGCGCCAATAAACTGTATAAACAGAGGTGTATATATCTGTTACATCCGTATATATTTAGTTGCTGTGTTGAGAGCTCAGTAATCGTTCACACCGCGCGCATCATTTTTCTCCTTGCTTGTTAAAGCAATGCCAGTTGTGCATGTGCGTCTTCCTCTCCGCGTAAACCCGTAAACAAACACTTGAGATCAGCCAAATTGGCGATCGAGTCGTAAAATGTGATTATCGTCCAATACCAATCTTCGACCGATAGATCGGAGCATCCCAAGTAAATTTATTTTTGATTGAACAATGTTTAGTTAGTTTATTTATAAAGCACATTTTTTACAACACAACGTTGCCCAAAGTGCTAAACACAATCAATACTAAAAACAAAATCTACATAACAATTAAAACACAAGGCAAACCCCTCAACATTAAAAAGGCTCAAATACTAGGGAACAAAGATGGAGTTTCAAATGCTTGGGATGATAACCGCAAAAGCTCGATCCCCACTATACTTAACTAATAAGGTCACCATAGTTAAAAAGTTTGTCCTTCTGAATTCTTTTAGCTGTCCACAAAAATCTTGTGCATCTTGATTAAATAAGTTTTTTTTTCCCAGGATGTGTGAATGTGTGTGTGTATATATAGCAATTGAGTTTTTCTTTTCTAGAAACTGTTCTGCCAGATAATAAGAGGAAGATGGATGAGATCGATGCTTCATCTGCGACCAAGATCAAGAGAGGAGATCAGAAGACTTCAGATCTGATTGTGCTGGGTCTGCCATGGAAGACTTCAGAGCAAGACTTAAAAGACTACTTCGGTACATTTGGGGAAGTCATCATGGTGCAGGTAAAATATACTGATATAAATATAACCCATACACCCGTGGTGTTTGTCTTTGTACTGTCATATTGTGATGAAAGCTGTTCATGATTTCTGTCTTTGTATCTGATGTTTGTATGTGGCTATAAAAATAGAACTGGCTTTGACTGTCAGTCTTGAAGGCAGATTAAAGCAGTCCTTGACTTGATTTTGTTACACTAGGTCAAGCGGGATGTGAAGACAGGAAATTCAAAAGGGTTTGGCTTTGTGAGGTTTGGAGACTGGGAGACTCAGAGTAAGGTGATGACACAGCGGCACATGATTGATGGCCGGTGGTGCGACTGCAAACTGCCCAACTCAAAGGTCAGTGCGTCTTTTTTTTTAAATGCTTGTTGTTTGTTTTTTTTTTTTTGTTTTTGATTGCTTGTTAATTGTTTGTTTTTACAGTGGCATTTAAAAGTTTAAGGTTAAAAAAAAGATTGTTCACCGGTTATTTGATAGAAATTGCATTTTACAATTGCACTTTACTATTTACAATTTTCCAACATAATGCTTTTATAAATTAAAATGTAACATACTAGTGATGGCAAAGGTGCATTTTCATGATTGTAATATTGTAGGGCTTAAAACATCTCTTTTATTATTATTATTATTATTTATTAAGTGTTAATAAGAATAATACAAATCAAAGCTAAAGAAAAGGTTTTGGTGTGGCATAAAGTCTACTCGCAAACATATACAGTTCCTGAATGTCACCTGTCTTTACAGCTTATTGCTACTAAAGATGCAACAGCACATGCATATGTTTTAATGCAGATTAAAAATACAAACCACTGTGAAATTCTTCAGTTACGCTAAACCATTTTGTTTTTAAAACTTTAACAGCAAGGTATAGATGAACCAATGAGGAGCCGTAAAGTGTTTGTGGGCCGCTGCACAGAGGACATGACTGCCGATGAGCTCCGTCAGTTCTTCATGCAGTACGGAGAGGTCACAGACGTCTTTATTCCCAAACCGTTCAGAGCGTTTGCTTTTGTCACCTTTGCAGATGACCAGGCAAGTCATGTTTTACATGATAAAATCACAGATAAAGAGCTGAGGCATTCCTAATGAATGTACTTTTCAAAAATGACCTGTTCATGACAACATTCCAGACCATATTGAAGAAATTTCCAACTTCTTTCCAGGTTGCCGCCGCTTTGTGTGGAGAAGATCTGATCATCAAGGGCGTCAGTGTGCATATCTCAAACGCTGAGCCCAAACACAATAACACTAGGCAGATGATGGAGCGGGCAGGGCGCTTTGGGAATGGGTTCGGAGGTCAGGGTTTTGCAGGCAGCCGAAGCAACATGGGTGGTGGTGGTGGGGGTAGCTCCAGCAGCTTGGGAAATTTTGGCAATTTCAATCTAAACCCGGCCATGATGGCTGCCGCCCAGGCTGCCTTGCAGAGTAGTTGGGGTATGATGGGAATGCTAGCTCAGCAGAATCAGTCGGGTACTTCAGGCACAAGCACAAGTGGCACCAGTTCCTCTCGAGACCAAGCCCAAACATATAGCTCGGCTAACAGCAATTACGGCAGCAGCTCAGCTGCTCTCGGCTGGGGCACCGGCTCTAACTCGGGCGCTGCCAGTGCTGGCTTTAACTCCAGTTTTGGCTCTAGTATGGAGTCCAAGTCATCGGGGTGGGGTATGTAAGTGCTTTGTGTTTGAAGTGTCGGTATTCCTAGCGTGTTTTGGTAAGTATTTTATTTCGAGAGACTTATCTCATCACGTGTGTTTGGGAGTGGGGATGGGTGAAAAGAGGGAGTCTGGGGACGAAACAAAGAAAAAAAGAATGTTTTGTACACTGAATGGGATTTGAGTTAGTGTTTGAAGTGAGATGTTAACAAGGGTGCTATGTTAATGTACCATCTTTGATGTTTAGTTTTTTTCTCCCCAATGTTGTATTGTCTTGACTGATGCAAACAAAAGCATTTCAACTGGATTCTTATAATGCATGTTCAATCTGTGAAAATGCATGAGTTGCATCATTTAATAGTACAAATCAAGAAAAGAAACCTGCATTGGAAAGAATCTGGTTGAAACCTGAACATGTATATTATTGTAAGTTCAGCTTTATTTCAGTCCAGTTGTTTGGAAATCCTTTAAAACAAGCCTTCATCAACATCTCTTCTGCAGTTGACATCTGTGGGGTTTGCCTGGGAAGAGCGCCCTCTATGGCAGCACAGTGTGGCTGAGGTCATTATGTCACCTTCCTCCCCATGTCTAAATGCTCTCATCGCACGGCTCGATGACACGGTGGGTGTCTTCTTTTTTAATCCACTTTTTAAAACAAGAAGTGCGCAAGAAAGTGACCTTTTTTTAAAAAAAAACAACCCTTGAGTGCGATTGGTGATGGCGAAGAGTGAGAAGGCTGCGAGTGAGCGAAGAAAGTGTGGAGCGCACGAACGAAAAGACTTGCGAGTGCAATGAACGAGCCCAAATGTGACTGCAGTGGTGAGCGTGTGAATGAGAGCTGCTGATTCTTCCCAGCTTCCCCCTTAATTGAGCCCAAATTGATGGACATTTAGTTCATGTGTACTTAAAGAGATATATTTAATTTGTTTTTTGGTCACCCTAGATCCCCATTTTGCTTTTTCTCCTTTAGTATACTGACAATGTGCTTATATAGTTAGTGGAATGTTGTGATGATGATGATGCATACTTTGTCTTGCTTCTATAATCCCATCTGAATGCTGTATGGTGTGTGTGCTTTATTTCCTTGTAACTTGACCTGTAAGTGTGAACTTTGATGTGGATGACATCTTCAGTGGACACTGAGGGGGAAAACATGAGTGATGGTGTAAGTGCGAACTGTATGTTGAGTGCTGTGGATGTCTGTGGAGTTTCCCTCTAGATTACGTCGCTCAGTGTTTTCAGAGGCATTTTATATGACTTGTCAAATGAAGGGAGTGCTTCAATAAAACTAATTTGAATAGATTGCTCTTTGCTCATACTTGTTTGTCTGTCACTTGATGTTTGAGAGCAATTGCAACGCAACTAATTGAATTCACACGTTTAGGGGCCTGGAAAATGGCTGGCTGCAACTGAACCCCAGGCGGGAAGTCCGTTTGGGGATGGAGGAAGATGGAGGATGCTGTGGTTCTGCACCTCTGGTAACAGCCACCGACACGGTAGACCGTAGCCGAATCTGATGGGTGATTCACTATATGCAGTTTTCTCTGATCGGTTTAAGCCTGATGCATTTCAATCTGAAATGTTGAAATGGTTTCAGGCTTGAATTGGTTTTGAGAAAATGGCTCATATTCAAATACAGGCAAAGGTTAAAGTTTTTACCATGGTTTACTGGGTTTCTGGAGGATTTGAAAGCCATTTTAAGCTGTTTTATACAAGTAACATTTAAAAATTAAAAAGTTTTAAGACCGCTTTCTACCAATTTTAAACTATTTAAAATGATTATTTTACACGTAATGATTACATTTTGAATATACCCACTCTCAAAATTGAAATACTGAATTTTTTATTATAATTTTAAATGTTAATCACATTGCAAACAAAAAAATCACCCAGTTTTTCCTACTTTGTTACATTGCCAATGTCTAAAGAATCTTACATCAAGAATGATTTGCTTGTGAAGAATCTTACACTAACTACAAAATCAGAAAGAAGCAAGAATGAAATTATCAAAGTGAAGCCATTGTGATTTAAACCAACATCTACCAGTTGGCTTAAGTCAATTCAAATGGAAATACATTTCCCCCACAGATACCCTGCTAACAATTCCCCTCTCATTTTGTATCTCACGTAAATGCATCTTGATTTGAGAATGTTTAGATGAATTGCTTTCAGTGCATCTGTAATTTAGTGCTGACTTCATTAAATTGAAACTTTCTGCTGATTTAAGACTCTTTTAAAGCTTTAATTGTTGAATTGGGCATATTTATACCTGGTACCCACAGAAACCCTGCTTTTTAAATGTGTAAAATATAAACATTTGAGAGAATCTGTATTGTTTCATAGACATTCAATCAAGTCATGTTTACAGGATTTATTATAATTGCAATAAAGCACAAATGAACTCATGCTTGAGTAAGACAAGATTATTGGTGTAAAGTGTTTAATGTGATTGTTGGTTTACATATCTACACAGTTGTTTTTTATTCAAGGCAAAATACTTTATACAACTAAAGGAAAAATAATTTTGGACATGTATCTTGATCAGTCTTCAACATCATTCTCCTCTGCTTCCATGTCTTTACTCTTCCTCTTAGCAGCATTTTTCTTCCTCTTCTCCTTCAATTCCTGGTTGTTTAGAGCCAGTTCCTCACTTTTTTGTTGAATATAGTTGTACTGTAAAGTAACAAAGATGCTATTTTTTTCCACTTGTTTACTAGAACCATAATATGCAAATTAATTGAAACTTTTATAATTCTTTCAAGTTTAGCAGTAAATATTGAACATGGGAACCCAGTTATTTAAAGATATACTTGGAAATCACACCTATGCAGTGTGTGAATTATATTTTGCAGTAATGCATGCTTTAGTCATTTATGTATTTATTTAAATTACATCTAATTAGTTAATAAAACAAGTTTTCAGTGGGGTTTTTTTAGATACTTTGTGTATTTTGACGTACAGTATCCTCTGATTAGCTATTTCAGATGTCAAACTATACATCTAATTTGATTTTCAGGCTATTTGTACATATTTTATGAGAAAACAGTCTTGTTTACACTTAATATGTGCCAGTTTCAGATAGCTGAATGATTTTTTTACTGGCACAGACTGAGTGGTGTGGTTATGCATTTGCAACGGTATGAACCGTTAGAGGGGAGGTCAAATGTATATATTATTATTTTAATTATTAACATTATTATTTAAAATACAGTGAACTATTTCTCAGTATTAAAGAGCTGAGCCCTTTAACGTCTTGCTTTGACTTCCTTCAGGGGATCAAGCATGAATTAGGAGCCCTTCTCCCCCTGTAATTCGCACCCTGCTTCTATGTAAATATATATTTGAATTTGCTTTTAGATAAATAGTCCAGTTACACCACTTTATGTACTTAAACATTCTGTATTGTTTTTAAACATTTAACAGAGACCAATCCTTTATCAGGCATGCAACCCTATTTGAGCAATTCATTGCTATTGACTTCAAATAAAATATATATGAAATATATATGTTCAAGGTTTTGTAGTAACACTCCAGGACTTTTACAATAAGCATTTCACCGAGTGCCCTATAAAGGGTTAATATAGTAATTAAACATCATTTGTCAAATAAAATAATTCGCTTATCCAAGGCCTTTAAATGCAATTATTTTCATATAATGTCATTTTTGTTGGGTGGGGTTTTGAACATGGATTGAAAAAATAAGTCATCTTACCAGTGCAGTGGTTCTCCTTGCTGTAAGTTTCACGTCATCCACTGTAACTGTGTTTCTTTTAGCATGTCTGCAAACATTCAACACATGCTTGAGTACAAATAAAACAGACTAATATCTCAGGAAAAATACACCAGTTTAATAACTTTCAGCTGTTTCCCATATTGACTTGGGGTTTACCTAGCAAATGCTTCCAAGTCCTTGGCAAAAATGTCTAAATGTAAGAAATAAGACGAGTGTTAATATATATAACAAAAAACATTGAGGTCGAAATATCACAAAGCTGAGGGACAAAATCTGAGTAATTTTACCGCACTGTCTGAACGCAGTCTCCGCTATAGCCGCTATTGTCTGTTTAGTGATTTGTTTCTCGCAGTCCTCAGCGATGTGTTGGCAGAGAGAGCCGACAGTGTAATGCACAGCAGCTTTAAGTCTCTAAAAATACATAAATGCTGTTAAAACGATAGTAATACCCTGGACATTTCCTGTAATGTGTACATGAATATGACCGCAAATCATGTACTGGTGTATAACTGACGTTGTGTGTTAGCTAGTCGGGAGATTTTAATGTGGTTACCTGATTTTGTGCCTCGTCCTCGTCCATTTTCAGAAGATAAATAAACTGCAGCTCAACTTTCTGGCTTGAAAATTCCGCGAATCCTGGGTTCTTCACGTTACACCACAGTCTTCAGTATTTATTATGTCCTCGTCAGCGCCATCTAGTGATGTGGAGGTGCCATTCAAAAACAGTAGTTTTACACTGCAAAAAATGCTTTTCTTAGGTTTTTTTTCTCTTGTTTTTTGTCCAAATTTCTAAGAATTATTATTTCAAGAAGCATTTTAGACAACAAAATATATAGTCTTGTTTTAAGAAATGATGTGTTAAAATGAAGTGAGTTTTTCGGCAGCACAGTGGGTAGGTAGCACAATTGCCTCACAGCAACAGGTCGCTGGTTCGAGCCTTGTCTGGGTCAGTTGTGATTTCTGTGTGGAGTTTGCATGTTCGTTTTTTGTTCACGTGGGTTTCCACCGGGTGCTTCAATTACCCCCACAAGCCAAAAAATGTGGTACAAGTCAAATGGGTAAGCTAAATTGTGTGTGTGAGTGAATGAGAGTGAATGGGTGTTTCCCAGTGATGGGTTGCAGCCGGAAGGGCATCCGCTGCGTAAAACATATGCTGAAAAAGTTGGTGGTTTATTCCACTGTGGCGACCCCGGATTAATAAAGGGGCTAAGCCGAAAAGAAAATGAATGAAGTGAGTTTTTCCTTAAGACAAGCAAAATAAAATGGGTTAAGAAACAAAATCTCACTTCAAAAGGAAAAACGAGATTATTTTGCCTGTTTTAAGGAAAATTCACTTAAGTGAAGACTTTTTGTTTTGCTTATCTAGAAAATCTTGATATAAGAATTTTTAGATATTTGGACTAGAAACAAGCCAAAACAAATGCAGTGTAAAATGAGTGTTTGAAGGATAGTTTTTTAATATTTGAATTCTGAATTTGTTGCTTTATCTTATATATATATTTGGGTTTCCTCTGCTTCTGCTTATATATTAGCTGTTTCCTCTGTGAAAGTTTGATTTATATGGTCAAGTGTTGTGTGGTATTGGATTTATATGACTAGGCCTAAATGTTTAGTATTTGACACATTTTCTGATAGAAATTCAAAGTTGTATTATGTATTAAGATGTATTAACTGGCAATAATAACCCCCAAAATAACCATGCTACTTGCAGAAAGTAGCAACATATCTAACAAAATTTTAATTACAGTTTAGATTTAAAGCTAAATGTTTTAATTTTGTTCAAGGCATGGCTTTATGGACTTTATTTAAGGCAGGATGACACTATTGCAATTATTTATTCATGAATTAGCAAAATATAGCTTAATTTGTGCCGATGCAGTCTTTCTTTTTATTAGTTTTTTTCTATTAACCTATTCATTTTATTCTGAACTTTAAAAATTAGGACATGCGTTACAAGACAGCAAGCACACACTCAGGTTTTTGATCTTGAAAAATCAATTTATTGCAGCAGCACTTTTAATACATTGATTAGATGGTATTTTTTATTACTTTTGAATTCAAATATGAAAAGTTACAGATGTTTTATTAGTCAATAAATGTTTAAAGACACTCCTGCTTTCCTCTTCATGTAGATTTTTTTATTTTGTAAGTTTAATCCATTCAATGAATTAAGAACTGTTTAATGCAGATCGTACACTCTTAAACATGAAAGCAGGTTTATTTCGCCACAATGGTTCAGGCAGATCTTTTGTAGGTTTGTTTGCAGATCTGGTCTTCGCATGTAAGTTCCTTTAAAGCAAAAGAAAAAAAATATATGTGCACTTTAATCTAAAATTGACTTGAATATTCAGTCTTATAATATTTGACTTACCAGGTAAAGAGTATCTCCCTCCATCCAGTGTGTCCATCCTCTGTTCTTCTTTTCTCCTTTTTGAATGCACACGAGTCTGTCATTGTCCCAGTTGACTGTAGTCTATCAAACAGAAATGTTATTTCTCAATTCGGCAGCAGAATACTTGAAACTGTTACCACACACCATTTTATTGCCAAATCACTTATTGTGCAACTAATGTGTGTTTTCCACCTGGCATTTTCTATTGTCCAATCCTTTGGTGATTTCCTCAAACTCTTCTCCGATTTTAAACGAACTGGAGTAATTTCTGAAAGTTGTTAAAGTTTTAATGGTGAAAGAGTCTCCGTCTTGCTCAAAAATCTTCTGTGGCTTTAGCATCCCCGCTATCTTTCGTGTGGCAAAGTCAATACCTGAATTCAACATTTTAGTAAATACACTGACATTTTCATTTAAAATTATTATAAAAATATACTTTATTAATAAATAAAACTTAATATTGAATATTATAGCGTTAAATTATATGTTGAATGCATTATAATTTAATAAGTATCAATGTGAAAGTAACTCATTGTATGGATTTTCAGGTACAAAAATAAATGTTTTAATAAACTCACCAAGAGCCACCATGTAACCTTCAAAGTTGTGGTTGTCCACTATGTCCCAAGTTCCACTATAGTTTACAGGCATGTTTGATGCTGATCCTGAAGTGTTTCTGTGAGCTGTAGCTCCTGTTAGATGCTGGAATTTAACTGTACATATGTGGAAATGAGAGAAGCAGATGTGTTGTGTCGTATTTCAGCAGGTCTGTGTGTAGTAATATGGGGCAGGGGTGATTCCTAGAGCACAAAGCCTATTTTAGAGGCCTGGTCAGTGGGGTTGTTCTGAGGCGGAACGTAACTTTTACACACTTCTGGTCTCGTGGGAACTCAAACAGAACAATGTTAGTCAAAAGACAGATGTTGCTTTAACAGTAGACTGATCAGGGAGTTGGCACAGTTTGACCAGAGATTTGCAAAATCATTACAATGCAAATAGGACTTTAAATAATTACTGGGGTATATTACCATTGGTTGTTGTATTTTTTAATCATTATTATTTACTAAAAGTCATGCGTACTCCTAAATAAATGTTTTTAACTGGAATTGATGATGGATAAACCTTCAACATTCATTCCACACAATGTGTCTAGACTTGAAAGGTTCTTTTGGCTATTTAGACAGTTAGAAAATATAGTAAAGGGATAGTTCACACAAAAATGAAAATCCTTTCACCATTTACTTGATCCAAACAAAAGAATGCGCACTGTAAAAAAAAAAACATCTGCTTATTGACAGTTTCTGTATTTTGTAATTCACAAGTGTTTTCCATTTAGTTATTTTTGTGAATTGGATTATAGGACCTTGATCTCTGCTCTGTCGACTTTTGATGTTGAAAATTCAACTCTAGAGTTTAGCAAAGTGACTTTTATTGACATTTTAGAAGTTTGAAATAATATAATGTATAAGAAATAATATAGAGAAATTAGTCTGTAAGATAACAGAAAATGTATACTGGCAGTTTATTACACGGTTCTCATACCTAACCAACCCAGATATATAGCTTTAAACTATTAGAAATGTTAATGAAAGTCACTTTTAGAAAAAAAAGCTAATTTACAGATACTTTTTACAGTGTAGATTTTTATTTTGTGGTGAATGGTCCCTTTAAATTATAACATTAAGGTTATTTGGGAATCAAAAAAAAAATCTTATTTGAAAACTCCATTTCAAAACCTTCAGGTTGAAGAATGTAGATGATTCTGGAAATGCATGGTCCTGTAACCCTGCATGTGCTTTTGAAATGATCAATTCTTAAAGTTCAAATTAACAATTCATTCATAATTTACTCAATGTAAGCTGTGAAGTTTCATGATTAAACAATTAAACGTTTAAAAGTTTTTGTGATGAACAGACCAAAATGAAAATCATTTTTTTAAAAAAAGATGAATTTCCACATCAATTCAAAAAGCCACTGTAATTTTACTGTATGTTTTAAAGAAAAATGTATATTTTTATTATTATTATTATTATTGTGTGTGTGTGTTTTTTTTTTTTACAATACAATCATATTATTAACTGACATTAGATGACATCAAGAACAATAGTAAAACAGGGAAACAATGAAAATTAAGTAACAAAAATAAATAATATATAAGTCGTGTCTTTGCTCAGATTTGAGCAAAGACACTGACTAATATTTTTAAAAAGTCCTTATAAAGTTTTAACAGTTTTTAAACTTTACTTTTTACTTTAAACATAGATGTAAAAGAAAAGTTTCATCAAGTTATGTTTATCACAGTTTATCGTCACGTCTGCAACACTATTGATTGGATCGTTGGATGGTCCTGATGTGCTTTTGGTTGATCTCACGAGAGTGGCAAATTGTCCTGCCTTCATCCTAGAAAATATATCATGAGAAAAAAGAAGTTATTGGAAAGGACAGGCAACTTATTTTGATTAAAGGTTGAGGACGTGAATAAAAACATGAATAATTGTTTTGTTTTGTGTTTTATAAATAATACACTTTTTTGTACATTGTAAAACCCCAAAAGTAACTCAAACAGTTTGAGGAAACCAATTGCAACAAACCATTTTCGTTAAGGTAAAACTAATCTTAATGAGTACTGTTTATCCATTTGGGTAAATGAAGCAGTTTGAGCTTAGTAAAACCTGATAAATGAAGATAACTCAAGCCAACTGAGTGCTGTACATAAAACCCAATAAGTTAAGGCAACTCAAACCATTTGAGGAAACCGATTACAAACTATTTGAGTTAAAAAAAAAAAAACTATAGGAGTACTGTGCACTTACTTTAAGTTGAAGGAATGAGGTATTTAACTACCTTATTACATTCAACACTGAGTTCAAAACCCTTTAAAATGAGAATTAACCTTAAGTAGGCCTAAATTTTGAGTTAACTATTTCATTTGATAAAGTTGACTGTTGGGTTTTACAGTGTAAAACCACATTTAATTGTATACACTAAACATGCAGATCACTACCTTAAACCAATCAACACCTCCTCTGATAAATAAACAGAATAAACAATAAATAAAACGATTCTTGAATTTAAAATCTCCACAAGTATGGCTGGATCATCACTAGAGGGCGCCATCTGATATTATCCAACAAGAAGATCTTCTCCGCCGGAGCTTCTGCTGACTTTCATCTGAACTATCTTGCAAGTCCTGTAACTGGTAAGTCCTTCTCTGATATTCTTTAATTAACAAATTTGGCATCTGCAACCTATGTATATAAATGCCATAAACGGTTTTCTCTCATTTTAGAGGTACGTTTTGTTTAAGAAGAATCGTCTGAGGTGATATAAAAGTGCAAAATGCTGCACCATTTCTTAGTCCATGCAGCTTTTCAGACTAGCAGGTGGCTTCCAAAAGATCAACGCTTAAAATTGTAAATTATCTATCTATCTATCTATCTATCTATCTATCTATCTATCTATCTATCTATCTATCTATCTATCTATCTATCTATCTATCTATCTATCTATTGTGTTTGTCTATTGTGAATTTCATTTTATGTGACATAAAGAACGTAAATAATTATCAAACAGTCAAAATGGTTTCTCTCTGGCAGTCAGGTTGTTCTTTTCGTCTTCGTGGTGCTTTTCTTGACACCGCAGTTTTATGTTTTGTCAAGGTAAGTGTCATATGTGAAGTATATATTTTTGACTAAACAACATAGCACAGTCATATGTCCTTAAATGTTTAATAACGCGTCTAATATTACACCAACGTTCCCACAGGCCAAAGTCGTCTCGCTATTGTGAAAAGCCACTGCTGAATAATCTCATAGTATTCATCGTGTTCTCGTTTATAGCAACAGGTAATATGATTTTTAAATGTTTAAGTAGTTTATTTTGTATATTATGTTTCATTTAAAACGCTTATTTTCAGCCCTTTTCCTTCACACTGAAGGTTTGTCTATAGCGATTACACTCACAGACCCAGTTCCCAAAACCATCCGGGCAGCGTTTCACACATTTGGTCTGTTTTCATTCATTGAGGGACTCTGTACAGTCATTTTAACCTTGACTGCACCTCAGTGTGTAAGTATGAATTGTGATAGTATCACGTTATGAGCCAAAATCACTCTACATATGTAATCTTATTTTATTTTTTCAGGCAAACACCACCACAGAATTGTACATATTTTCGTTGGTAGCCTCTTGGGCCTGCATATTCTCAACAGGTAAGAGTATTAGTCCTTTTCAGTCTAAGTGTAGAAGAATATATAAAAGAAAGAAAAGCAGTGTTGTTCTTGTGTCTCCATGCAGCTTTCTTTGTAGTCAGAGGAGGTCTCTGCCTAGTCCATAAACTATTTCCTCATTGGTTAAGAGATGCGTGCCTCTGGGACTGAAAAATGAGCTTCTACTACCTTCACTGACACTCAATACAGGTGCATTTATTATTAACATGCTTTCAGACAGTTGTGAGACTCTATTCATCGATATCTCTTTTCACCAATATTAGCATACAATGGAGGCGAGAAAATAGACAGACTGCATTTATTTAAAGAAAACTTAAGCATTGTGTTTAGAGTCTGATTATTTGGGATGTGTACTTTGCTCAAATGCATTGTAACAAAAGAAAAAGAAATAAAAACACTGATGCTTTCAAAAATATATTTTATTGCTATGTAGTAAAACCACTGCAAAATATGAAATGGTGTTTTTGATGCTGTGTAATACAGTTGTGTGTAATGGCATGTAATACAAGTGAATACCGTAACAACAGTTCCTGGAAACATATAATGGAAAAGCAATACACCATAGATATATACACTAGATATCACATATGGACCCTGAGTATGCGTCAATAGCGCTGCCACATTTGTACAATGCTCCCACCACAGATGTCATTCAACCTAACTAAACAAGACTAAAGCTAATGTTAAGTTGCTTGACTTTAGCGCTGTGTACGGGTGTATTAGCGTGCAAACACAATAAAACAAAGCATAAATGCAGAACATTTCATAGGTAAGATTTTGTTTTTGTATGTTATGAACTATTGTGCTTAACAATTAATGTTATCGATAGTGATGTCACTTACTGCACTGATCATGAGGCAAAGTAGCATCAACTTGCTCAAAATTCTAGGTTTATGCTTTTGTTAAATTAAATAAGCAAATAAGATGCTGCGGTGCCAGAAAATTTTATTATTGTGGTCTAAGCGAATGAGTCTTTCATAACAGAGATTCATTCATAAACAAATCGCTCCCTCCCTTAAAATGAGAGGTGAAAGCGGAAGAGGGGGTGTGTTTCAGGACACAGATCAGATCAAATTTAACAGGGAGGGAGGATAATACATTTTCATGCACACAAACATACGCTTTTGTCAGCAATGCCCGTATGGTCACTTATTCATCAATGAAGAGAAGTGATGTCAAATTATAATTTTCTTAATTAAAAAAAAAATTGCATATATAGATCAATGGGAAAACTTCCCATTATAGATGCATGTATATTTGTCTGTATATCTTTAGCTCTGGGTGGCCAGTCCTCCACTGCACCTTGGTCCCAAATTTAATTCAAAGGAGTGGTACCCTGTACTAAAATGGCAGCTCTATTGACACATTCCTTCCAATAGACAACAACAAGGTGCTCCCTTGGCGACATCTAATGTAAATATCTATGGCAATACACTTCATTGAGAAGTGTCAGTTCATGTTTTAAACCTCTCTGCAAGGCACATACTTTCTTGGAATACACACAGTAGGATTTGTACAATGTTACACATTATTTATAGGCACTTTACGAAAACCACGAATCAATTTAAACAGAATTTAGAGTGTGATTTTAAAACCCAGTGCATTTATTCGAAAGTTTTATTAATATTTTCACAAATTAGATGATCCGATTCATGTGGAATGTAATGTTCTGATTCACTACACAATGTTTGGCAAACCACTGGCTATGACACTGGTCTCAAACTGAATTCCTGAAGATCCGCAGATCTGCAGAGTTTAGCTCCAACCACCTCCAAATCACACCTGCTTAATAGTCTCTTGCAGTCTTTAACACCTTGATTAATTGGATCAGCTGTGTTTGATTAGGGTTGGAGCAAAACGGCGGCCCTTCAGGAATTAAGTTTGAGACCCATAGGCTTTGATAATACTACCCAGCTGTCCATAAAAGTCTTGCAGTGTCTCAAAAATCATGAAATGTGCTTCTTCAATTTAAACAATATCTGTAGAAAGGCATTCATGTTAAGATATGAAACCAATGTAAGGCGTTGTGCCATCTGAATTGCTTGACACACAATAAACCATTGTTTATGGAGGAATGACAAACATTTTTGACAGTAATACACTCTGTCAACAGTGTAGGTATGGAATGGTTTCATCAAGTAAGGTTAACTGAAACTCAGTTCAGTCTAAAAAAATGTTGCATTTACATTTGTTCAGTCCTAAAAGCATAAGAAATGCCATCTTAGGCATGTTTTGTGATCTTGTTTTATGAGTATTAAACCTGAGTTCTGAAATTATATATGATTTCACCTTTAATTGAAATCCTTGAATAACAAGGAAGGAAAAGAAACCAAATATAATAAAAAGAAGCTAATTTAACCTGGCAGTGTGTAAATTAACAGGAGTAAGTATAGTTACACTGGGGGGAAAAAAAGTCAAATTACAGAGCACTCCAATATCTGTTCTCTTATCACCTTTTGGTCTCAAATGCGCAAAAGTGCTTTATGTGGAATGACATTTTTCATACATGTCCTAATAACTGCCATCTAAACTGAATTGTCTTGTGACGAATGTTAGCAAAAGTGAAAATTATCACACAAAATGACTAATTACACGAACCTAACAGAGTTCCTGAGATTTGAAATAGTAACCTTTTTGTAAATTCTATCATTTAAATGCATTCATTCCTTAATCCATCAATCAAATTACAAAGTTCCTTTCACAGCATTAAAATAACTCTGACAAATCCCACCTCATTTGGTGCATAAATGGAACTTCAAATGATACTGCAATCATTCACTATACAGCATTTCATTTCAGCTAGACGCCCTGATGGGTGGCTTCACTGACCAATCTATGCTGGAATTTTATCCTAGTAATGCATCATAATCAATGTACCATATAAGACTACCATTATTTGGCTGTACTTTGGTAATGGGGTACCTTGATGATTCCCCCTTAATTCGACTAAGCTGAGTAACAAGTTCATGCTTGCTCTTCCCCATTACTAAAACACCGACCCTTCGAGCCTTATTAATGGCTGTGAATGTCAGACTCATCCTTTGATGAGGTTTAATGGGGCTCTCTGTCAGGGTTACCAACCGTTCTCCATCGCTTTCCAATTTGGTGTCCTGGAATAAAGAGGCAGTATGGCCATCCTGGCCTACACCTAGCAGAATGTAATGGAAGCTAGAGGCATTGACATGCTTTTGGATTTCCTTCTCATATAATGTAGCACCACCATCCTCTTCCACACATAACCGCTGCGTGAGATGCACTGGCATAGGATGGATGTTGAAGTAGGGTATGCGGATATGCTGAAGCAGGAGATCATGAATTGACCGGAAGTTAGAGCCTGACTCTGTATGTGGCACACATCTCTCATCTACTTGCCATATGTGAGTGTTTCGCCATGGAAAAGTGTAAAGGTTGAGGGCTAGTGCACGGAGCAGTGCAACCGGGCTGGAGCCACCAGACAATGCCAGATGAAACTGACCTTCTCTGCGAATGGCCTCCTCGGCAGCCAGCAGAAGATCAGAAGCCAAGCGTTCCACCAGTTCCTGCGCCCAGGCAGAAATCATTTCAGAACTACGGTACTTCCCTTGCATCACCTGGAAGTTCTCTTCAGCTCCACGGTTGATAACATTGACCACAGCTTCATGGCTGAAAGCAATCTGATGACCCCGTAGCTGAAAATTTAGCAGGTTCCCGTTGCTCACACCACCAGGATAAATCCGTGGATAGACGTGAGACAGGCTTTCAAGGAGGGGTGTCCAAAACGCCCAGGAAGCAAGAAGTCCTTCGGCACTGATAAAGCTATCCTTGCGTCCAAAGAAGACGTGCGAGATCAGCTCGCCATAAGCCTCTCTGGGTGCAACTGGTGACTGGATGTAATAATCACTAAGTGGTAAACCCAGCAGGTTCACTTCTTTGTATTCAGTGACTTCCTTCCAGTCACCGCTGCTCACTATCTCAGGTTTGAGCAGGTTCTTGCTCACGAGAATGGAAGGGTATTGGAGGTTGCCGTGTCCCAGATAAAATATAATCTGTTTGGATTTGCACTGAACATTGTTGGGATCCTGGACGCAAAACACATCGCTTTTGAAAAGGACACGTGCATAACTGACCCGTTCATCGAGAGCCTTGCCTGAGGTCATAAATATGGGGATGCCCTCGTATTGTGCATTGTCAACATGAATAACCACACCTGAAAAGAGTCAAGAAAAGCATGATTTTACAGACGAACACTGCTTTAAATCTGTGACTGTTTACATGCACATGAACCATCACCTTTAGGGTCAGAAATATCAAACTCAATTCCTGGAGGGCCACAGCCCTGCAGTTTAGTTCTAACCCTGCTTCAACTCTCTAACCTGTAGGTTTTAAAACAAGCCTAAAGGACTCAATTAGTTGGATCAGGTGTGTTTAATTAGGGCTGTACTAAACTGCAGAACTGCGGCCCTCCAGGAACTGAGTTTGACACTTGTGTTTTAGGTGATTTATGCCGTACTCACACTAGGTACAGTTGCCTCGAACCAGGCCAAAGCACGCTTGTCCCCCGTCCCGTCTCCCCCGACGGCCCGCACTCACACCACAAATGGGCCTCGGCACGCTACGTCATCGCTGCTGTGCTGTTCAGTGAGAAGCGCTCTCTCACTCAGCAGCACAGTGGAGATTTCTCCAGTTATATTGTTTCAGTCGTTTGATATGCAGTCAAATATTTCGCCAAACAGTCCGTAGGGATGCGGTGACACGCAGTCAGATATTTCGCCAAACAGATCCGCCACTTTTGGCGCTCATAAACAATCATAAAGCTCTCGTTCTGCTGAAGGTGTGCAGCTGTCGTGCTGTGAGAAGTTCTCGTCTTTAATAAACTACGGCAGTTTGCGTTCACTGAACAGTAAGAATGATTAATAAATCCATATGAAACAGCCCCTTAAAACTCACGTCTCGCTTTCAATTTCGGGCTTTGGCGCGTTTTGCACTCACACACAAGCGTACCGTGCCAAAGCCCAAGTGAACCGCGCTCAGGCACACCTCTTCCAACCGGGCCAGGGCCGGCCAAGTGAACCGTGCTTGAGCCCGATTCAGCGCACTCACACTTCTCAAACGATCCGGGAAACGGGCCTGGGCACGGTACGGATGGCATAGTGTGAGTAGGCCCTAAGAGACTAATGTGGCCAAGAAAAGTGCCACGCTGCTATCCCTCAATACATAATATCAGCTATAGTAAATGCACAACGTGACCTGACGTAGTGCATTTGTATGATTTTGGCTTCCTTTCTGGACTTTGAACATCTTTATTCCATTACTGTTTATGGAGGATGAGAGAGCTCACAAATTTCATCTATAAAATCTCAATTTGGGTTCTGAAGATAAATTACTCAGGGGATTGGATCTCATGTGCATTTTATCATACCAAATAAGGCAACTAAAAAGTCCTTCCACTCACCAGCAAATGTTGGGGTTAAGCTGAAGTAGTCCTTCGTTTTGTTGAGCTCTGCCTGAACCTCTCCGTTGTAAGCTTGGTACTGACCTACAACTGCATTACTGTTGTCTATGTGCTGAAGGGAGGCCAAGAAATGAAGCTTGTTTAACAATATCTCTTTGCTGTTGGAAAGATTTGCAGGAAGGTTCATTAACATAAGGGTCATGACCTCCGTGAGGTGGTTTTGAAGCACATCTCTAATGACACCATATTGGTCATAAAACTGAATCCGCCCTGTAAATAAGTAACAGATCTACAATCAATGCTCAGATTAGATAAATGGAAAGGAGCTTTTGATTATGTGAATTTGTAACTAAGAACAACCTAAAAATCCAGTACCTTTGGCATCCAGGGTTTCCTTCAACACAATTTCGATTCTTTCAATATGGTGCTTGTTCCAGATAGGATCCAGAAGCTTCTTGTTCTCCTTTCTAAATGGTAAGATTTTAGAGACAACCTTTGGTGCAGAAAAAAAGCATTGTTATGTTTAGCGTTGTTTTTTAAAGCTCACGTAAATCCAGTTAGTCAGGTGAAAGTGCACAACAATTCAAAAGATGGAGATCAGTTCATTAAAAAAAATGGTATTTTGAAGAATGTTGTTCCTCTGGATTCTTTATTCCTTAGGGAGATGTTTTAACAGCTTCACTGTACCTGCTTTCCTAGATAATGGTCAATCCTGTACATCTCCTCTTCTTTCAGCTGGCCTGACAGTTTTTTGTCAAGCAACTGGGCACTAGCAAAGTCATGACCAAATGGTTTCTCCAGTACCACCCTCAGCCATGCATCAGATGGGGGGCGGCAGGTGTTGTTGATCCTCTCTGCAATTTCTGCATATGCAAACGCGGGAACAGACAAGTAGAAGAGCCTCCCTGCTTCTGTCATACTCTCCTGTCCTACCTGCTGTTTGATCTGCTGGCAGAGCTTTTCATAGTCCTCAGCCGTCTTCAGCTGGTGATAGCGGGACAGATGAAGGAACTGCTCTTTGACCAAAGCACAGCGTTCTGCAGTGAGCTCTGGAGGGCAAGCCAGCTCCTTCAAGATGCCAAACAGCACTGGTGTCCCCTTCTCGGCTGGCGAAAGACCTCCACCGTAAAATGAGAAGCTGTGTCCTTTGCCCACCTGGTCAGCATAGAGCTGGAAAAAGCCTTGCCATAGGTACTTCCTTGCCAAGTCACCCGTTCCACCCACAACAACCACAGTCACGTGCCCAAGACTCTGCTTAGCCTCATGATTATCTGCGCTTCCTCTCTGCCCGCATATGATGGCCATTAGCAGTAGCTCCCATCTTATCCTGAGCATTGTAAGATCAAGCTCCCACCTTTAAAATGCAGAATTTTGGATAGATTAATTCAAATTCCAAAAAAAAGGAAAAGTCTGCATGTAGGTACAAAAAAACAATAATATCAAACCATGAAACTGCTTTTGGTTAATCATGAAAAGCACTTATGAAAGAAGACACTCAACTTTTTTGTCACTTAGAATTAACAGTTGAGCTTTATCATTTTTTATTCCATTCAGTCGATCTACAGGTATGGTGAGAGCAAATTAAAATTTTCCATTGGTCTTAGTACATTATGTAATTACAGAAGTGTTAACCTTTACATAGGAAAATGAT